TGTTGTCCGGCCGCCTTCACGCCAGCCCCCGTGCTAGCGAACTTCCACCGTGGTTCATTGACGTGGGAAAAGAGCAAACCCGCAGGAAGCTTGCGGCTTATAGAAACTTATGTGGCACGTGCCATTTTCATAATTCTGTGCTGGTATATATACAATGCCGCAATAATGATTTCACCATTTTCCTTTCGCGGTTCTCGAATTTTACTGTCCGTTCTGTGGCTCTAATATTTGGTGTTTCGAGAATTTTATTATAATAATATGGATATCTATTTTTGATAAACTAATATTTAATAATTAATATTTATCTTTCATAAATTAATACTTATTAATTAATATTTGTTTTCTTATATATATTATTGAAAGTAAGCAACCAATGACTAGGAACAATAAGGGTAGTAGCACTAATTGTAAGATCAATAAGTCATTCACCAGAAGATACCAGTAGAAAACAGAGATACAAAAATTTAATTTCAAATAATACATGTAATCGTAAGAAATAGTAAAATTCACATTTCAAATAAAAATACCGTGTAACTTTTTGTACTCTTCTGAAAATATTTAGAGAACAATTTGATTGTAACATAAATTTTACGATAAACAAACTACGAATCAGTTATCCGTATGAATATTTGTAATGGTATTTGCTACTCGGAATGTCTGGCAATTTATGTTGTTACCGATGAAAATTTGAAGCACAACGAATCTTGTAAGAGCGTTCCGTTTCCGGGGATTTTTCACAAGATCTTATCGTGTGGGCGAACAACATTGAAGGTGAAACGTGACAGCAGGTGAAAGAAATGCGGCGCGTATGCACGAAATGAGTTTCAAGTTTTCAAATTTCATTCCGCCGGCTAGAATCGCGAGTTCTTTCGCTTACGCGTTTGTGTGGAGGAAATATAGAAAACTTCCGAACAGGCATTAGGTTGATGTAAAAGTTCCGCCATACGTTTTCAGCGAGCTGCATACACAGAAGTTGAAACTTTCATAAAATAAAATCGAATCCGGCTTTTTACCTTCCTTTTAAATATCTGACGGAACCCGTTATGCGAAAATTGCCTGCAATATCGATGCTCTTGATTTGGATTCTTTTTATGACATATTAACTAATAAAGGACCGATTGTCATATTAAAAATTCTAAAAATTAATTATATACACAAAAAATATTTATTTTTTATATCTAGCAGTTATCATTTTTACGTCTTCAATGGAATAATTTTATCATTATAAAAGAATTACTGGTTCAGAATTAATCAAATGGACATTGATTTACGATACGACACGAAGTATCATATAATATAGAATTTCCTTTCGAATATCTGTCACACTTTTTTTCACGTCGGATTAATTAAAAAATTTCGAATAAACGAGGAAAATAGGATCTATGAAATTCTTTAATTTAGTTAATGTGTATATTTTTGTAAGTACAAAAATCGCCCCTGTCATAAACCAGACGAATTCTCGCGCAGCGGCGAGGATTACGCGCGGCCATGGGTGTGTGCCCGCACTTAGGTAGGCACGTACACATGGGCCCACGTAACGGGTTTTCCTTCGTTGACAAACCGAATGTACGCGCAACAGCGAGGACTACCTGCGGACAAGGGTGCGTACTCGCATCGGTGTACACCCTTGCACGTTCAAGTAGCGGGATTTTCCCGCTGTTGCCAAATGTATTTTTTATCTAAAACTTCGTCGATCTCTTGTTTCCACTCCGTCAGCATCCCCTTCCAAACATCCGAAGGAGGGGTAAAAAAGTTTACTTGTGGGTGCAAGAGCTCCGACGAAGGAGAGTTCACTTACCGCATTCGACAAGAACAGTTCACTTCCGAGAGTTCACTACACGCATTCGACAAGAACAGTTCACTTCCAAGAGTCCACTTACCGCATTCGACAAGAAGAGTTCACTTCCGAGAGTTAACTACACGCATTCGACAAGAAGAGTTCACTTGCCGCATTCGACAAGAACAGTTCACTTGCCGCATTCGAGAAGAACAGTTCACTTCACGCATTCGACAAGTATAGTTCACGTACAACATTCGACAAGTACAGTTCAATCAACACATTCGACAAGCTCAGTTCACTTTCAAGAGTTCACGTACCACGTTAGAAAACTACAGTCACACGAAAGACTCGTTCACAACTCACGCGACAACCACTCGAAATCACACTCGAAATCATCGTGCCGGATTCGAGGACTCGTCTACTAAAATCTCGATTCGAACAAAATGTAACGCGAAGACGCGACCACTGCTCCACCGACGGATCCAGGTGCCCAAGATTAATTTGGCGGGCATCACGTGTACGGTCAACGTAAAATCGCGAAACCATTCGAGTCGCGACCAAGTGTCGACCCGTCGATCGTAACGTAACATTTTCTGGTACTTTCGAGCCGGAGCTGTTACGCATACACATTATCTGTTGTCACTGTATTTCTAAATAATTCTGCATTCATGTAGCGCTCCTCGTCATACAAATACGTCAAGGTTTCGTTGGAACAGTTTCCAAGCTAAAGACACTCGTGTTATAAAAAGAAATGAGAACTTGAACTGCCTGCAGCTATGTTTCCTGACAAGAACGAGTGATCTCCGGTATGAAACACGTACGTACGAAAAAAATGTGTCGTATGTAATTTTGCACCTTAACTACGTCACTTTGTCATCAGGAACTAGCGAGGAATAAAAATAGCTGCAGCCCCTGATCAACAAATTAGAGCCACCCATAGTTTGAATATTTTTCGCAGTAATCGTGAATTAGAAGGTTAAAACGACATTTAATAATAACTTTTATTAACTCTTAAAGTATATACGTATAAATTACATGCATTTGATGATTGTATCTTCGACTTTGGAATGATTTTGTTAAATTTTAATCATTTTTGCTGTCAAATTTGCTACTGTAGAGGTAGGTGATGCGTACACGAGAGTTTTCAATAAATTCCAGACATTTTCAATGTGGTTCATGTCTGGAGAATACAAAAATTTTACTGCTCGCACAATAAACTCTCAATAACAGTACATTATGTATAATAATATTCATATTATTACTATTGAAATATATAATATATATGTATATCTTTAAGTAGTTAAAAAAAATGAATACTAATTAAATTTTCGCCTGTTACTTCCACAATTACTGCCAGAAAACTACGACTGGCTTTAATTTATTGATCAGCGACTGTATAATTTAAAAATTATACATCATAAATAAATTAAAAACACTTTCATTTTATGCTTAAAACTGCAAAAATAATTATTTTGGATTTACAAACGTATTGAAATATTAAAATTAATTTTTAAGTAATTCTTACATGAATTCGTTACTGTGTCCTATAAAAAGGAATATCAAAATTATAACAAATTTTGTTGTAAGCAGTGGAATAAATATTTTTCCGCAGACACTCGGGAACTTGAATAAAATTCACCTTCTGACTTGTGTTTATTGTTGTTCTTTTTCGGTAGTCGGTTTTAACGATCGGCGTTGCCCAGGTTATTATCGTAGACTTTACACATTACGTAGACCTTTCTGTGCTCGTACTAATTGTGAATGCACATAACGAGACGCTACTGTACCCTGTTTTCTAAATATACACTAATTCATTAATGTGCACACGACCCTTATGAGAATAAAAATCATTTACGAACTAGAAAAAATTTCTCACAGCGCGTTACGAACAAATGAACATTTCATTTTCCAATGCAGTTTTCAAACTGTGAAGTCTATTATTCCACAATTTTCTATCAATTACAAATATTTCCTTCGAGCATATAAAAGACACATTTCTTGTTATGAAACGGATTAATAGAACTTTTCATGAAACAAGAGACGAAATTTTACTAGTCAGCAAGTAAAAATTTAATTTTATACGACAATCCTTTAAGATACCACGCAACCGGTCTGCTATTTCACCATTTCCCTTCGCTTATTTGCTTCGAATATCGAAAAAATCAAGCTACATGTTCATCAAACGACTAAATATTTTACTTTCACTAGTTTATCAACTCCGCTAAGTTTATTTATTTATCTTGTTCACTTCTGAGCCTACAAATTGGACTAGCTGTTCAAATACGCATTCTATAAACACTTCCGCCACGGTTTAGGCTCGCGTCCCCTGTAATATCACTGGGCGAGATCTCGGTTTTCCGTCTAAAATTTCAAAGTAATTGGCATCCCTTTCATGTAGGTAAATTCAACCGCACTTTAATAGTATGACATGTTGCGTGTGTCAAGATAACCGGTTCAGTGGTTTAGCTGCTACCACTTCGGATTAGTACTGCGGCTTTCTCGTTTGCGGAATTACTGGGATTACCTAGATTACACGGATCGTACAAGTACGATACGTCTAATACGAGTTATTCCGCGCATATCTTACTGTCAGAGATCGCAGGCGTTTAATCGATTAATTAAATTATAAGCTGTCACTAGTTACGATGTATGAAAAGCACTCCTCATGGAAATTGCGCGGTATCTTTCTCACCAGGCATTATGGAAATTGTGAATCTGACTGTAAATACATAACTATCTTTCCGCAATCGTTGAAACGAACCTGCCAAAACAGGTGAAATATTTCCGGGGAGAATTCACTGAAAATAAATTACCGTCGGTGGTGATTTAAATGAAAAACTTAAAAATTTGCGTTTACATTCATTCATACTTCTGTATTCTGTGAGATTATTTTAGTATTTTTATTTCACGTTTGGTAAATACTATTTTGTTTTCATCAGAAGTTTATTTTGTATCCGGAATACTACGACCTGTTTATTTATAATCAATTACTTTTTTTACATTGTATTATCGTTTTAAATGCTACAAGTTATCCTTTCATTTCTAAAATAACTCTGTTTAACTTTTAAATATAAAAAGTAAACGAGAATCAAACAAGAATATTTAACATTAATCGGTAATTTTAATGTTAAAGGTTAAATTTACGTCTATACTTAAAGGTTAATGTTTGCAGGTAACAAGAACCGTGTCTATCCATGAATTTAAAGCCAAGTAAACTTACCAGTGACGTTGAGTATAATATGCTGCACATTATTGCACTCTCGATTCACTGTCAAGTACGTAGCCTCGCATTTATACAATCCTTCGTCCTCTATTGTGACGTTCGTAATCTTCAGGTATGCCTTCGTCGAATTCGTTGTGTACTCTATGTCCGACCTGAAACAATCGAACAAACGAACCAATTAAAACATCATAAAACAATCGTAGAGCTTAAAACGATGAACGGAAATCTAGTACAATCGATAGAGGAAGTTATCTTCCTGCGAAACGCGATTAACGTTCGAATCAGGACAGTCTATAACTAGAATAACATTCTTACTTGTGTACGGATTATACGCAGTTTGCTGCCATTAATATAACACATTTGCAATCCTATTAGCGTGGGGTAATGAATAGAACAATGAATCGGATCAACCTGCTCGTTATATTGCTAAATCGATAGCGCTTTACTTATGCCACTAAGGAAACAATAGCATTAGAATTTATGCGACACAATCGTGAATCCTATTTGCTCGTTGCTATTATGGCGACTCCTCTAGCGCTACGGATACAATTGCCGTACCTGTTTAACATAATTGAAATTATTTAAATTTTCCTCTTCGACTGTTCGCGTTTTCTCATCCCTACTTCTTTCATAGGGGGACGCAAACAGTAGCAAACGCATTCGTTATTGAGTGGACATTCATAAATATTTAACGATTCCATGTGTTCTACGTAGGCGTGTTACAATAAATGCCAGAAGTTAAAGAATGTAATTAAACATAGCATATTACATAATGGAAATGTGTTATTGATTTTGATAGCAGAAACACGCATGGCGAGCATATTACAACGGTAGGTGTCTTTCTCGTGATTGTAAAATTAGAGCGAAGCTTCGGTTACGGTCATTATTGATTATTTCGGTAATTACAATTCCGAATGTTCAGCGTTTATATCGATATTGCAGTTTCGTTTTGTTAGTGTGAATGCTTAGGCCTTTGTATCTGGCGGGCATCGCAACACTCGAATGATAGTGGTTACTGTTATTAACCAGTGCGTTTGTTCATTAATACGATGCGTTTCTGTTGATTCCGGGTAGAACGATCCACGGATCGGCTGCTCAAATATGTGTTCTAAGCCCTATGGAAAACAGTTTGCTCGGGATTCTCCGTGTTATCCGCTCATAGTGTCTCCACAACAGTTACTTCGAGGAATTGAATGAAACAGGTTGACGCAACAAACTATTGTTAATATTTTAAGTAACCACGTTACTATCACAGATCGAAAAACTTCAGTTAATTATATTACGAATAAAGTCAAATTTCACTGGAGTTATATTTGTTGCATCTTCAACTTCCATTTTCAATGAAGCACGAATGTTCTTAGTTTGATCTCCAATTTCAAAAGACAGATTTTTAAATTTAAAGAAAAGGATTATTTACATTTTTTATATTTTAAAACAAATAATGTGATAATGCTAACACGAAATTACCAAGAAAAGAAGATCCAATCTCTTTTCTTATACTTTTCCTTTCATTTGAAGAATACTATCCACATTCAAATCTTAATTATTTAAAAAAAAATTAAGAGATAGTCCTTCACTTTTTTGCTATTTAAATATTTCATCTATAATTCATTTTTCTACGGAAAAGGTTTTTGATACTTTCAAAAATCCTCGTCTGCAAAAGGTTAATCACTCTGCACACTCCTTCGGATTGCGAACCGCTGCTTTAAAGAAACGTCTGCAGTGCGCACCGCAAATTCTGGCGGCGGGAAAGAAGCAGAAATCGCATTAGCCGAACGGAGAACGAAACCCAATACACGCTCATAACGGATAACAGGTGAAACGTAGCGGAGCCTTTGATCCGAACAGGAAGCGCAGGTGTTCGTCAGATGAAATGGCTACGGCGAAAGCATCAAACGAGACTAAACAATCCTCCTTCAACGATTACAGGAATTCACGTGCAAACGTTTGCGTTCCGCGAGTCCGCCATTGTTTTGGTCCGACTACCGCGTAAATTTAAAATCCATGAACCGGGCTCAAACGAGGCCGCGAATCGGTACGCGTGTGTTCCATTATGACTCCATCGAATATCTTCCGTTTCGTCGAACCCTGTTTTTCGCGCAACACGCACAAACAGAGACATATTTGCGTTCATCGGGAAGCTTAAAACGCTGTTCCATTAACATACCGATTATCGTGGTAGCCAACCATGTCCGGCGCTCGCGCATTACTTAGGAATAACTACAATAAGGGAATTGAAGTTGATTAAAAATATTCCGTGACGAAAGTAACTAGTATATGGAAATATGTGAGGGAATAATTTATGAAATATTTGGGCAATGAGCTGGGAAAACTGAAGTAACGGGAAGCAAAATAGTGTTTATTAACCATTTGTAAGTGCCAGGGGAAATTTTCATACACATTTAAGAAATGCCAGACAATTTTAAATAAAGATGTATGATTGTAAAGAAAAATTTCATAACATTTTTATACAATACTAAAAACATGTTAGACTTCATTTACTACTAATAAAATCCAAAAGAAACTTTTCGCAGGTACATGAAGGAGCGGTGTATCGCTTCTTGGCACTCAAAGGGTTGAAATTAAATGAAATAGAAATGTAGGATTGGATTCGACTAGAATGGCTCGATTCAATTTTTTATCTCGACCAACTCAAGACTCTCTTAAAAATTCGTGTCTCTACATGTACAACGTTAAAATTATTCTCTCTTCTACAAGCATTTTTCTCACTCGCATTCTCGATAAAACATTCGAACGCACTCTGTCAAAATTTTTTGAGGTTTTGTGTCATGACGGGTATACTTGTTCAAAGCCAGCTAACCGGTTAAGGGAATATTCATTTTTGAAATAACTAATTTTATAAGTATACATTACTTGCATGTTGTTGACAGCAATGTAATCTCTACACGCTCTTTCTGAGTAGGATTTAGCATGTAATAACTGCAAGTCGTAGTGAGGCGACTATAGCGCTTCTTCTAGAGCATTTTTTCTTATTGCGTGATCCGACGCGTTGTGCGAGTCTCAATCAAAAGAAAAATGTAATCGGTGAAATCACCGTACGAACTTTTATGTTCTGTTCATTAAGTATAAATATGTGTACAGATTTCTACATTCTCTTTTCTATATTGTAAAGTTAATTAAACACACTCGACATTTAAAGTACAAAACTTTGTCGTTTTCCAACTTTTGAAATTTTTTTCCTCCGTTTTTCCTATCGTTGTATTATTCTCGACTATTATCGTTTCAAATTCAAACTGTTCAGCTAATAATTTGTCAAGGATAAGAGCACTCTTATTATTAGCATTGTTTATATCTAGCATGGCAGATATTTTAGTGGGCGTATTTTCAATCAATAATTATACCGTCTCGCCAACGGGAGTATCCCTTGAAATAGAAATAGTTGACTTTAAATTATTATTTGTATCTCTGTTTTACTGTAAAAGGTGTATATAAGGTTTATTCTTCGTCTATACTCATTTCCCAATAAATAAAAATTGTTGAAAAAATTATTTGTAAATATGAACACGTACGCATACTAGAATAAGGTACACACTTTTTAAAGAAGTCGCAATAGCTAATGGGTTGAGCGGTTCATCTTCTAACGCAGCGTGTCGTTAATCTGCGCCCGATTCACAGGGCTTTTTCGAGCGTTCGTCGGAAAGAACGGCAAACACCAGTGAGAGGTCGTTAAATTCTTTATTACACAGTCTGACACGTTGAATAATAGGGCATTGAAGCCACACGCGAAAATCGTGTGCGGTAATACCTTGCGTAACGCGGGTTTGATCAGTGCAGGTGTTGTTGCTACCAGTAGTATTATTTTCGATCGAGTTTCAATGTCGGTGGCAATTGCGATTGCAAGTTTACTTTATTAAGCTGGATATTTTACGGAACGAAAGATAAGAATGCAGTTGTTGGGAACGATCGGCTTCCTGAACGTGAAGCTTTTTTGATATTTGAAAGTTGGAAGCAATTGCGATCGTGATATTTTATTATGTTACCGAACATTTCACGGAACGAGAGAAAATAAAATTATTATTATCGTTGAATTTTTGAAATGTAAGATTTATTGAAAATAAATTAACAATATACGAGGCATTGATCTATATTTATATTTCTAGTCAAATATATTGAAAAAAGAATATATTTATTTATTAAAATACTTAAAATATATAGTGTAACACTGGACTTACGGAACAAGACAATTTCACTCATACTGTCTTTTATAAACATTATTTGGTAAATTTTTGGGTCGATTTTGATTGATGCAGACGCGCAAATATGCACCTTAATTGTCTATTTTTAATATTAGGTTTACGGACGTCTATTGTGCAACTTGTTCTACTGTTTCTAGAAAATTGATGTTCATTTATTTATATCTTGGAAATCGAAGGTTTAAAGATACACAATTAAGATGTATACTCGTGTAATTGCGTCAATTGTAATCGACTTGATCATTCACCAAATAACGTTTGTAAAATTTAATACGCCTCAATTTGACGCGTTCCGTAAACCTAGTGTTAAACCTCTAATTTCCGAAATTTAAATGAACGGATATCAATTTCTCTAAAAGCGATGCAATAAACTGCACAGTAAATGTTCGTAAATCTAGTGCTAAATTTTGCTCTATTTTCATTTGTTTTAATATCGGTTACTAGTCTTTGCTAGTTCCAACGGCAGGCCACGAAATTCAATTTTGATTCGGGAAAAAGCGCAAGCACAGAATTACGGTAATTCCATTGAGTTGTGTAATCTGTACAATCTGATACAGATTTAATATAATTACTAATTATGGGCAGGGTCAAGATTACCCTATTAGCAGGACGGAACACAGAGGGTCGGTCGGGACATTAATCAAGCATTCCGTTTGTCAGATGGTCCGTCCCGCAGATTGACATACGAATCGCCACGAGCATTCTGCCCGATCCTTTAACCTCCTGATGACCAATATCACACTATGACACGGCAATGTGTTTCTAATCGGCAGGATCAACGGTGTCAAAATGCTTACGTCATTTGATTAACGATCTGATACAAATATGTATAGCGTATTGACTATCCAGACGAAACGCATGCAATACTTGCCTCGATAAATTTCTGTGAGTGTTGTATTCGTAAAACAGATGTGGGATGAGTTTACTGTGCAATGATC